AGACACACACTCCTCCTCCTCCTCCCTGCCTTTGTTTCAGAGCTAATTGTTATGCATTACATGCCCTCTGCAGGTTGTCTGTCAGTGTGTGTGTGTGTGTGTGTGTTTGTGTGTGCGCGTGCATCTGTACGTGTTTGTCAGTGAACATGAGGCTTGAGACGGTCAATATCCAGTCAATAATCACGATCATCTATCAGGCCTGTTTTGGTGTTCTCACTGTTATTGTGTGTTTCATCTCCCATTAAACACACCCGCCTGGAGTCTCTGCACTGACTAAACACATTTGTGTGTGTGTGTGTGTGTGTGTGTGTGTGTGTGTGTGTGTGTGTGACACAAACATTTGCTCTTTAGTGTGTTGTACAAAGGCTATGAGCTCATGTTTAAGTGTCCTCTGTTTTAACACTTGCTGGAAAATAACTGAGCAACTTTTTTGCACCATTAAGTCCTTTTATATGACTCTGAATGTTTCACATTTAAATAAAGTAATGAAGTTTTAAGGCAGAATGTTTCTATGTAATTATTTTACGTTGCAGATTTAATATTGAAACAGTTGCTTTTTGGGGGTTTTTGTGCGTGAGCGACTAACACGTGCGTGTCTTAGCTGTCGCCACTGATGGCACGGCTGATGAGCACGCTGGTGTCACTGTGTTTGTTTGTGTGGATGTGGAAGTCGACTCTGAGTGTGTGATTTTCTTGTCCATGATAATTACAGCACTCAGCGACCCCCCCGCCGTGCTCCGGCTCATTACGGCGGCGTGCACGTGTGGGTACAGGACGATGACAATACTCGACTGGGCTCTGCCACATTAGGCGGACAGAAATCACAGCTAAGTGGAGTGTGAAATTAATAATTGAATGAGAGAAAAGAGCTGACTGTTGCCTTTTGTTGGAAACAGCTTTCTACTTTTCCCGTGAGAGAACCCCGACATCCGACGGAGCTTTCAGTTCAGCTGGATGAATCTCCATCAGAAGCCTGTTGTGTTTAAGATGGATTATTGATTGTATTCAACAAGTGGAAAGCATTCCTAAAATCATCCTTTTTAACCCTGTGGGGGAGACTCCATTACTGTTTGGCTCCTGACTTCTTCAGCCAGTATTAACAAAGAACACATGATGTGTTCCTTTTTAATTAATAGGCGCAGCAGGTTCAGTTTGTCGAGAAAACAAATGTTTTCTCCCATAACCAGAATCGCATTTACAATCCTTCTGCTCACATAAAAGGCCCCATCTTATCTTAATGACTTTATAGTACCATAACACCACATTAACAAAACACCAACCCTAAAACCATCACAGGAAGCTCAGCATGAAGAGTGCAGTTTGTGAAAAACACAAACCATTAAAAGGATGACTGGACTCTATTATTCCTGCACTTGGGCTCAACGTTTAGCACCAGCTGACACAAACAGCCGTCACAGCCGAGTCTGAAATGGGACTTGACTTGCAAACAGGCAGCAGAACTGATTAGAGCGAAAGTAGAGACGAGTAAAAGCTGCCACTGAAGCAGACGGTGCGCTGAGACTTTACAGGCCTGCTGGGCTTTTGAGTAAAACGACTCCCATCAGCTTTAAGCTGCTCTGATCGTCGTGGCACGTGGAGCCGCTGGTGGCTCCTTTTATTGTTCTGTATTGTTGTTGCCGTGTTTTCAGTGTTTCTCTTTGCATCAGCAGCTCCTGAGGCTTCAACACGTTTCTCGCGCACGCTCATTAACTATTTACTGATTCCATCAACACACACTTCCACCACATCTATCAGCACACACAGAGCTAGTTCCACATGAACACATTTTCCTGTCATTTATCTTTTTCACCCACCCGGTCTCTATAGCGCATGAACACACAAACACACACAGGAGAGAGAGATGTGTGAGGGATCCATTTTTCATTTCAGAGCACGCCGAGGGGAAAGCAGAGATACTATAATCATACCCGAGGGAGAGAGAGAGAGCAGCAGGAGGAGACGGGAGCGGTCAGAGAGGAAGAAAGAGGAGATGGAGGATGAAATCAGGACAAACTGCAAGAAAAATGAGGAGTAGGAAGAGAGAAAATGGGGGATGGTGACAAAGAAGATGAAAAAAGGAGTGAATGTCACTCTGATTTCTCTTTCTCACCTCTTTCAGTCATCTGCACTTTCAGAGTCTAATAGCAGTCGAGCTGAGGTTTGAAGCTCAGAATAGACCTGAAGATTAGTGGAACTACAAAGAGGCCCTCAGTGGAGGACTGACTTCGTTTAGAGGAGGGCTGCTGTCGCGGCACGCTCAGCCTCTGTGGTCAGTCTGCATCCTCCTGTTTTTGGACAGGTCTCTAATTTCTACACATACATTTATGAGTGGAAGAAGCAAATACATTCTTTTGAATGCAAATGCAAACGACTGCGATTAATAATCTCTTTGCACAAGTTGCATGTATATGTAGGGAGAACACATGGACGGGCGACGCAACAACACTAACCAAAGCTAACCACGCGGGCTGTGAAAAGACACAAAGTTGAATCTGAACTTTGAGAATCGTTGCTCCGGCGTCCTCACACAGACTCAGCCCATTATTTTTGTTCAGCAAAGCAGAACAACCACCATTAAAACGAGGTGATGGTAAACCAGTGAAGCTGCTAGCAGGGGGAGGATGTTACTAAGACTGGTGCTGCTGAACATTAAGTGATATTAATGTTTTCTGACAGGTTGTCATAAGAA